CGGGGCCTCCCCACCTCCAAGATCCAAGAAAGGGGCTTCCAAGCTAGGGTCGCTGGAAGTCCTGCTTCCAGCATGAAGCCCCCAAGGGAGCTGTCTGGGCAAGGTGGGCCGCCCAAGACATCTGGCTGTTGTTTTTCTCAGATGGTGGAGGAGACACAGGCACCCTCTCTTCACAGATCTCTCACTCCAAAGGCATCTGCTGCCCAGGCTAAAAATACTCGAGGCTGCCTCCCTCTTCCTTCTCCTCTGCACTGGGGGCTTGGTCTCTTCCTTGTGATCTCTGACCCCCAAGCCTCCCCCAGGTCAGTGGGGCCTCTGGCTTCCCCAGCTGAGCTATCCTTCCCAGGCTCCTCTGTCTCTGTTCTGCCACCTCCCTGGTGGCTCCTCAGTTCCAAGGATGCCCGAGGAGCGGCCACCCTCCTCCAGGCTACACCTCTGAATAATGAAGGTGGAGTCTCCTGTTCCTCTTTGCTGATGTCCTATCACCTCATCCCTCTGTCCCCTACTCCTCTATGTTCCTCAGACTTCCCCCTCAGCTTTTACTCTGTCTTCACCCCAGGAGGCAACCCTGGAGAGCCAGTCACCCTGCACTGGGTCCTGGATGGACGACCCCGGCGCACGGGCACCCTGGACGAGCCGGTCAGTGCCAGGTCGTCCTTCCCTTTGCGGGGGGCCCGGGGTCTCCCAGCCCCTTTCCCCGTCTTCAAAGTTTAGCGTGGCAGTTTGGCTGGGGTCTTTTAGGCCCCTTTCCGGAGGCTTGGCAGGTGGGGGTGGGGAGACACATGAGATCACAAGAGCCTGCACGCATGGAAGTCATTTTCAGGCTTCCTGCCCCACCGTCCGCTTCTCCCTTCCCCCCAGAATTATCCAGGGGAATTATCCTCCCCACCAGGCAGAGATAGGGCCAGAATTTGTGAGCCCTGAAACTTTTCAGGGACCTCTTTATGCAAACACCAAAATATCTTCCTTTTGCAAAGTTTACCAGAACGTGTTACCCTGTGGACACATTGCTGTCTCCTCCAGTAACACTTCAGCCTCCCTGGCTCGTGCAGAATCCACTTCTGACCAGGGGGCACTGGTCACCCTCCTAGGGCAGGCCCGCCTGATTTTGCTTCTCCAGGATGCTCTGCCCCACTTGCTGCCAACACCCACCCATCACACACTTCAGAATAACCATGCTCCTGTCTGTATGTGCCACACAGCTTTGCTACAAATCAGGAGGCCAGTGCCCTTAGTATCCCCATATCACAGAGGGGCAAACTGAAGCCCTGAGAGGTTGGAGAAAGTACCCAAGGTCACACAGCTCTTTAGCCCAGAAGCCCGAGATCCACGAAGGTCTGAAAGGCTTCTAACCATTGGCCAATGTCCCCCAATTTTAGAGAGCCCTCTTTATCCTGAATTTTCAGGTAAAAGGCGACAAACCACTGTCCACGCCAGCAAGGAAGGCAGTAGAGCACTGTCATGAAGGCTGGAAGGCCCCCATAGGCCCAGGAGCTTTTAACCTAGGGCCTTACTGGCTCCCCCAGACCCTCAGGGGCCCCCATTCAAGCATGGTGCTGACCCGGGCTTTGAGCCGGGGCATCACTGGCAGAGGGCAAGGCTGGGCACATGCTGGGCACCTCCCTCCCAGTCCAGCCTAGGCTGTGACAAGGAAGGGCATCTCAGAGGGCCTTGCTTTCCCCTGCCTCCCCCC